TATACAATATTTGTACGGCATTGGTTATACTTTGGCAAATATCATTAGTACTATACTACCATAATACTATACTAACATTAGTAGATAATATTGTTACTGTTTGTTGTTCCAATAAATAAATAATGATTTTAAATTTTATAATATTATTTATTTACTATTATAGTATTTAATAATGGATATCAGTAGTAGATAAAAATATCAATTGATATAATATCAAATAAGACAATGTAAAAAACAATAATAATGTGTGGTAGGTTCACTTCAAGTCACGTAAGAGTCCTCAGTAAGGTAGAAACAACTCGAATATCTGAAGTATTTCTAAAATACCGTCTATCTCATGTAGGTATGTTACAATCATAAGCAGTTGCTATATTATATATCGAGATATAATTTTATTGTATATAAATCTCGTTATCATATTTTATACGGACAAAACTGCGGTTTATAGCTAGTATGTTTAAGTAGTTACGTTTACTCGTATATTATAGGATTGATTTTTATGCAACTTTATGCAACTTAGAATGGCAAACAAGCTGACGGCCCACCTGATGGAAAGTGGTAACCGTTGCCTATAGACATGAGCAGTACCATGGACATAACAGAGTATACTGTTTCGCCCATGATACTCCCCATGCGTTGCCACTCCTGAGGACTCAGGTGTTATTCCTCTGTACCCAGTAAATTCACGCCATATCCCACCCTTCAAACCGAAACACAGTCACGCCAACACAACTGCTTCACGGTTGAAACACGAATGGAACAGAGGTACCCAAGCAATCGACTTTTGTACAAAGTCTCCCTCTGGTTAATATATTACTACTAATTTATAATCTGTGGAATAAATTTTGCATTTCCCATGCTCTTAAGGCCTAAGTCTGACGACAAATCGGCTGTTGTTAAAAATAAACCCTTATAAAAAAATAAAAACTAACTATTAAAATTGGTTTACATTTTTAATAATTAGTTTTGAGAATGTATCCCGTTCTATATAATATATAGTATAGCCAATAGCTTCTTTATTTAAAAAAAAAAAGTTAAATTCAATGTATGGCTTCGATAATCATTCTATAACTCAAATCACAACACGTACATATGTACTAAACAAAGAATCTAAATACATAATACAATTTTTTAATTGTAATACAAAAGCAATTGAAATAAATTTAACATTTTATATGATAGACTCGCCTAACTCTTGAGAACATACTAGAATATTAGAGTGCTTTAAATTTACATCACATATCAAAGTGACGTCAGCGGCGTGTGAGTTCTTTTATCGAGTGATTTCGCAGAAAACGATACGGGCACCGATAACTAGCAACTTACCAAGATAAACTGGACAGGTGTATCGCACAGTATTATTATAATATGGTAACACTGTGGGTGTATTATGATATATAATATATTATTATTATATTTATGTAGCGGGAGAGTGTCGAGTCTAAACTATTCTTAATACGAAATCACATTTGCCAGACAACGAAATTCGACTTAATAATGTCGACATAAAAGTTCAATTTTAAACGATAAGATTAGATTTGTTTAATATCTTCGATAATTTAAAATTTTATTTTCAAAGAATAAAACTATTTCAAATGCAACAAAATTAATATTTATAATAATAGCTATGAAAAAATATTTTTCATTTCAACTAGGTACTATTAAATTATATCTTTAACTATATAATTTTTACCCTCAAACATTGTATAGTTTCTCTTCGGCGTTTCAAAAGCTAAGTGTAAGAGATCCTTCTATGGGATAAGTCCGCTATTGTATATCAATCTTTTTAATGTATCCAATATAAAGTTTGTATAACAAAGATATTACGATACAATAATTAAAATCGCATAAAAAGTACGTTCATGGATTAATTTATTACGTGCGTATGAGTTGAGACGTCACGATTTGGCACAGGATAGGTAAAGTTAATCGGTAGAGTCCCTACTAATTGGCATGTGTATAGAAAATAAGTTGGTCAATCAGGTTTCTGTTAAAAGCCAAATCGTGAGCCAAATATCGCGTACAACTTTAGGTTTAGCGACTTTCTCCCGTCTCGATCTCATACTAAGCTCCCATATTAATTTTGTCACGATCAAAGACGTTTTTTCTTTGCGGAGCAAATTTACTTGTATATCTACTTTTAGTGTTTTGGTTCAAGCTTGTATTTCTTAAAATAAATTAGCTAAATCTCCCGGCTTCGCCTGAGGTAACATCGTGTTGTTGAATAGTATATAACTATTCTCAATAAATGAGTCATCAAATACAAAATTAATTTTTCAAATCTGACTGCTAGTTCCACAGATCAGCGTGTACATTTTATATATTTATTATATTAGTATACTAAAGTATACTAATACACGTGAAGCAAATAACGATTTAGTCCACGTGACGGGAATATATTTATTGATATGGAAAAAAGTAACTATGTTCTTTTCAATTAAATTCAAGATAGTATTGGTTGAACTGTTAAAGAAACAAGTTTAACCTCAAATTTGATAATTTGATAATTGATAATTCTTTATTTAATAACAATTCATACTTAGTTAGATCTACTAACCACCGAACTAGGCTAAGCCTGTATCTCAGTGGTTAGTTAAAAACTTCCTTTGACTTAACATAAGACGGTACAATCTAAAACATAAATACTCATTTCCAATGCTCAATTTACTTTTGGTGCAACATTGTCAAATAAACAAACACTCTCAGTATCACTTTTATAATATTTGTAGGAGTAATCTTTAATACGAGTAGTAGTAGTAATTAAGTCAAAGAGGAGTAATAATTGAAAATCAATACTGTGCAACTGTACGCGAAAGCGATACACTGATAGCATCAGCTGAATCAGCATTTTTGTTTATAAAATTGAATTATTATCATTATTGATAGATTACATCATAGTCGTCACTTATTTAGGTCATGTGTATGTTATTTTTAATATTAAATAATAATAAATACTATTTTTATTATCCTTCTTGGAATTTATAATTATTTATTGTTTCTAAATTGAGTTCTAATAATTTCATATCGCATTAATAATTGCGTAAGTATAATTAATACGCGTCAAACAATTATTATATAACTAGTCGAGCAACAAACATAGATTTATTTCTTTTGTATTTTCCTGTGATCAATAATTGTGATTATAAAATTAAATGACATTTATTGTAAAATATGACTTAGTTTCTACATTACATGCAGAGGTAAGGCTAGTTTCTGGAATCGATTTTAAAAATTATTTCAATAATAGAAAGTTACAATACTTGTAATAATTACAAATAATGATAGTGATATATTCAGGATTAGGTAAACTTGAAATAGCCAAAGATTCCTCTGTATAACTGTGGTCTCTGTGAAAATCTGCATTGCAGCATACCAAGCTAGCTAATAGAAATGAAGAGTACTATGTATATGTTTTTTTTTTCATGCGTTACCATTCCTGAAGACTAAGATATAAATAGTATTTATATGCACCCCGGAATAAGAGGTTATGATGTTTCATAACCTGTAATACATAATAGCCCTGCATCCACTTCTTTCTCTTCCGTTTTAGCAGTTTCGAACATGGATTCCTCGAAGATCCACTGACATACAAAACCAAAGATGGACATAGGCTACTACTAATTGCAAACGATTAAAATTAGCCGTGCTAACATTGAATCAATGACTTATAATGGCCCAAATGAGAGGCGTTTAGTGCAGAAAAAAAGAGTCTAAATTACATTTACATGGACCCCGGAATTGTAAAGAAGTTAACAAATAGGCCATATGATGAAAAGTGATAAACTTAGCGTATAGAAATGAACAGCACTTTGGGCATCATACGCTTGAACCTAAATGGTCAGATACAGCGTGGTGTTAAAGGATTTTTTCCCGCGAACACTCAGGCTGTGAAATGAGCTCCCTGCTAAGGTTTCCTTAGGAACTCAGTATGGCGTTTTTCAAAAAGGGTATATTAAGGGTTGACAACGCGCACGTGATTCCCCTAGTGTTGCAGGCGTCCAAAGGCTACAGTAACCGTTTACCCTCAGACGGGCTGTATGCTTATTTGCCGCCTTCGTAGTAGAAAAAAAAAACACAGAATATTCGTGCATTGCCATTCCTGAAGACTATGATATAACTCCGTACTCTCTCAAATCAATATCATTGCAAACGTTGTTAACTTACCGATTAAAATTTATAATAGATATGAATCAGAACTATATTAAATTTAGTTCCAGGTAATCAATAACATTCGCTAAACTATGAATTTAAAATATAAATTTTAAATTGATTTAGAGAATGGCAATTTAGTATTGAACCCATTGTGATACTATTCTGTGTTTAATATTGTCTTTATATAACACTATGTATGTGTCACACTTTGGACAAATAATTTATCATTCATTCAAGTGTCGTATACACCTACGAGTACATCCCTTAAAAAGGGTTCTTGGAAATCCCCATGGGAACGGAAATAATGAGTTACGGGAATTTGCGTAGATGTTCATGTAATATATATAGTATTTAATAATTTATTAATACTACTTTACATTTACAATTTAGTAACTATTTACACAGTAGGTATAATTTAAAAACCTATTTTTATTTTATTTTTAATTCATTATTGTACATACTAATAATAATATGACAAAGGTAATCAAATGTACAATATGTATAATCTACTTCAATAAATCTATGTAAAAATTTCTCAAACGACTTCTTTTATTTTCAATAATTACTGGTATGATTTATAATTTATAAAAAAAAAAGATATACAAGACTTACACTATATTAATTGTTAATCACGATCTTACTTCCGTCAAATATTGAATTGAAACTTGTTCTCTCTCTGTATATATATATATATATATATATATATATATATATATATATATATATATATATATATATATATATATATATATATATATATATATAATCTCGAGAATACTCATATAATAATAGAAGTGTAATAATATATTAATTTAGAACTTTCCATTGTATGCTCTGTTATTTCTTACCAAGATTAGCGTAGTATCCTGCTGGATGCATCATGAACGAACGAATCACCGTTGTAAATTTTCCATTTGTCACTTACCTAAAACGAACAAAATATAAGGTGAAACAATTATGAAACATTGAATAAATACTTATCAGCTGGATCACTGACAGATTCGTTGTCAAGAGACAATATTTGTTTAAAATTTACCTACTAGCATATTAGTTAGGATTTACAGTAAAGGTTGACTGACACGTTATGTGCCCAGTGCCCAATTATTAGTACCAAGAATTGTGTGATAATTAATGATTTAACTAAATACATAGGCAATATAATTAATAATGTACCTGATTAACACTAATTTGAGAGACCGCAGAATGTAATAACAATAATAATATCTGTGCATAATGTTATAGTTACGCGCAAATTCATCTTATACAGTGATACATACTTATACAATACAGTAATTCATCTTATAGAGTGAACTACCTTAATTAATTTTAGCGGATTACCCCTACTTTATATGCGTCACCGAAGTATCGATGCCTATTATTTTATTTCTTTAGGACACTCTCAGACATCATGCATTTCATTTGCACGTTTGACGTAATTGTATAATTTACATGCTTCAGTTGTACGGTTAGCAACAAAATACCACGAACGTATTTACATCTTCAAAATCTATAAACAATATTGTGTATTTGTTATTGTATACATTTAGCAATTTGTAAATTATGTAATATTTATCAATGCCCTGTTCTCATTAGTGTAAGAGAAAAATTCTAACTAAAATACTGTATCAACCCGCCAATATCTTAATAGTAGGCTTACATTTTTCTCTAATGAGGAAAAACCCTTTCTCAATAGTGGAATACATATGGTTTGTTATTTGTTATAATCAAGATATTCATCAAATACTTTGTTAATGTTCGCTTATATTATTAAGTGGGTTTTGCATGTAGCAGACATTGTGTGCCAGTAATACCGGATTAGGTATTTTTTTCGTAATTTTGGGTAATAAAATTCTTTTCGCGAAATATTAAATGAAATTGTTAGAGAAAATAGAAACGAGTGTGGAGAAATTTGATAAATTTTGTGACAGTTTTTGGTATTTATTGTATAAACTGTTTAGCAGACATATAAGTCCATGGAATATATTACTGATGGTAGGAACGTGACGTGAAGAAGCCAATGTCGAGAATAGCTATTTTTTGTCGTTCGCATATTTTTAAAATGATGAAAAGAAATGAAAACGTACACAAAATTAATATTGGTTATTTATTGATAAAGAAAACCGTATCAATTTTAAAAATATTTGAAAATTGGGTAAAAATCCAAAAACGTATCTGGCATCGACGCCAAAACCCCTAAACAACTGTGTATTCGTCGACTTTTGGTATTGACTGTACTGGCAGCACGTATACGCACGACCGAACAGCTGCCGAGAATATTTCCGATTCGTCTAAAATAACTGTATTCAACTGTTCGGATTGTAATAACAATGCGAATTGGATGAATTTAATCTGTATTGGTTCTTATAGTTGAACAGTTTTGCTTGAATTTAGTAAAAACATTAAGAATTCTGGTATTATAATAGGTATTTTGCATACACTGCACACATATCGTCATAGTCGTAGAACACTGACGGATCTTTATATGTAATCTTTGTCAGATCCGTCAGTATTCAACGACTATGACGATATATTAACAAAGTCATGAATTTAATTTTGGCTGGCACTTCAAAAACATATTTACCACTCACTATTTAAAAAAAATTACATTCTATAATTAAAACTGTAAATAATATAATATGAAATCGTCAATATGTTGCACGAAAGATAACAAATACAGATAAATCTTTGAAAATACCTTGAAATACGAAACCGGTCAGGTGTTTATTGTAACTGATTGTAGAACAAGTATTTTTTATACATATATATATATCAATATGTGTTCAAAAGTGTCAACAATCACTGATATTAAATTAAAAACAGTTTATAAACCTCGTCAATAACTAATGTCAAGTCAATGCAGCAGAGATATACGATAATGTTCGATCTCGCATGGGTTACATTACTTGCGTACATTATTTGCGTGAATCTGCATAGCATATCCGACATAGGGGCCAAAATGCAGGCTTGCATATTCTGCCCGAGGCATGCGGAGGCGAGCACACGTGGCTACCACTGCTCTCTAGGCTAGGAATCTGACCAAATGCCCATCGGAGCACGATTGTTAGCTAAATAGCGATGGCTTATTTACGATCTATACACCTCGGAAACAATTCCGAGGTGAGAGGTCTCACACGAGTATTTTAAGTAAGTCTAACCCTAACATTTTATTGTAGAATTAAATATCTCCGGATCTTATTTATTGCCATTTTGAGTATATAGTAGATGGTTAATAAAATTTAAAATAAGAATACTAAATGCTTTAATTGTGTATTGAAATAAAAATATATTTTTAAGATCATATAAATATAATATGTTTATGTTCAGATATTTAAAATATATTACACATTTGTATTATTGTTATGGTATTTTACTCATACTGTTAATTATAGTTATAAAGCATATGTTATTGTACTAATGCTTTCCTGGGTGAGCGTATTGGGAAACTGTAAAGCTCACCCAGTTTATCAAATAAACAAATGAATAAAAAATAATTAAGAATTAAACTGTAACTATAGTTATGATAATAATTATAATTAACAGTATAATAATTATAAGGTATCTACATAATTTTCGATTTAAATAATTTTATTTTCTTTTAATTTATTTTATATTTAATTTAATTTTATATTCTGATATTTATCAGTTACTATAATTTTTGAGTAGAGAAACAATTGGAGGGATTTTGATGAACTTTAGTGTAGTGTAGGATATTATTTAAAATATTTTTTAAATTACTGAATTCCTTTCATGATTCTATCGTTTTCATGTTAAAATATTTTTCTTAAACAAACAAGAGCAATAACTTAGTAGCCAGGATTATTTTTAATTCTATATTCTAACGAAAAAAGAAACAGATTCAAAAGTAAATACAGCACTTACTACTTATGTTTTTCTTTTCTTTCTACCTATCCGGAATCGGTGAACAGACATATAAAACTGAAGAGTTCCGTTTTCAATTTACTAAAATCATTTAACTGCGGCGAGGTTTAACCATTAAAAGTGTTGTAACAATGGCTATGTCAACATACAAAACGATTTACGCCATTTATGTATAGATAATCCTCATAAATAGCAATTTGCGTCGTGACAAACGATCTGCGCTGAGTCGCTTAGTTTGGAAATCGCGTATAATGCCGCTATTGTTAATTATACAAGTCACCGCCTCGCTAAACATACGATTTATTATCAGCAAAATGGAACAGCGATACATCTAGCGTGAGATTTGTGCGGCAGCCATGCCGTCACAATGCAATGAATAGCCTAAAACATTGAAAAGATAAGACAAATGGTCCTACTATACTAGCTAAGTGTGTGTTGCTCGATAATGATCGAGTCTCTTATAATTTTAAGAATCTAGACTAAACGTGGAATCTTAATGAACCGGTACTCTTTATTTACGCAGCATGTCAAAGTCGAGTTTACAAGTTGAAAAATCGACGTCTCCGGCTTCCAGCAACGCAGTAATGTCGACCGGCGATCGAATGGAGAGATAAAAGAAATCGGGCTTCAGATCTGACGGCCACGCTTTTCGGTCGAGAAACACTACCGACAGCGACCTTAGCGCTGTACTTATTTAACTTTATGCTTTTAACGGAAACTTATCGTGATATCAAATCTGGAGCGGCGATTAAGAAACAATAGGACATTAATAAAAAGTTGTGGTGCGAGGCATGAAAATGTTCCGTCTATGGACGCGAGTGCGTCCACGCCGGTTACAGTTGGTGGCTGGACGCTTGAACTATAAAATATTCAGTTTACTCGGTACTTAAAAATACTATAGCATCGGTTACAGGTGTCAAACGCGCTAGGAACACAGGGGTTGTGTATCTCTCAGCAAGCACCGACAGGGGCAAATAAAACAATGGAACAATGAAATACGCAGGACCAAAGCGCGCCTCTGCTAATGAACTACTGTGTAGACACTAAACATTCTTGGTATTAGAATATTCATTAGTATCCACTTTTATTTAATTTTTATATACAAAATCAATAAATATATTAATTAATATGTATGCTTAATATATTAATACTAGCTTTTACCAGCGACTTCGTTCATGTATGCCACTGATGAAATTTTCTTACACCAAATTTCATAATGACTGGTTCAATTGTTCAGATGCTATAAGACAACAAACAAACAAACTCACTTTCATATTTTTAATATTAGTAAGGCTTATAAGTGTAAGAGTGGAGGTATTTGTTACCGTACGATTTATCTTTGAACATTCATATAAATATTTTTTAATTCTTATTATTTGATAATAAAAAATAAATATTAGTAGGGTCAAATAATTATCATAAATAAGAAACTAGATATATGTTTTTTACGAAATTTGTAAGATTTCTACGTTGTATTACAAACGTCACTGGATTATTAAAAATGAGTGCAATATGTTGTTGAATACGCACTATGTTCAGTATTGTTTTTAGTCCCTGATTGTGTGTCTAGGTTTTTATATATTATTTGTTACAGGCCATTATTTCATCTAGTATTTATACTGATAAAGATAATAACAAATTATTCCATTTGTAAAGTAGAGTAACTCGTAGCTCCAATTATTCAAGTACAGATATAGTATATAGTTGATAATCATAGTTCAGTTCCTTTGTTATCATTTCAGCCATTCATTGACAGTGAATGATTGAAATTACGATTAACAGTGACTGAACGCCATTATACAAGTGATATAATAACAATGCATATATAAGTATTGTTTGAAATTTTAAAACGACTAATTAAATATAAATAAACCCCAATAATTATATTGATCGTCGTTTAGATTTCGAGTCACGAGTCTCAAGAGGGTTCGGTCAGCGATGCGGTGCTAGATGAAAAAGCACCAGTCGAGGTCCAGCGCGAGGTATGCGTGGAATGGGAGGGAGCATCCGGCGGCTGCGATTGTTACCAGTTATCACTGAATGTTT